AAAGAAAAGAAATATAGAGGACCTTAGGGTAAGGACCAGTAGGAATATGAGGACTGATGACGGAAGCAGGGACTGCAAAGTCCAGCAGGTTATCCATCTTTCTGAGAGGCTGAGGGAAGAGGCTGCCTGGTCCAGACCCGGCCCAAACAAATATAAAACATGAATGTGGAGATTCCAAGAACTGTGACAGAAAGCAGAGGATACCAGAAAGATGTTTTCTTGTGTTTGATTTTCTATGCAAAGGCATTTAACCATGTGGACCTTAAGAAACTATGAATGACCTTGAGAAGAATGGGCATACTAGAACACTTAATTGTCATCATGGTACACCTGTGTCAGGGTACCCGGCCTAACACATCATCACGGGTCCGGTAGGTGCAATTGTACAGCGATAATAAGTAAAGATTATAGTAAAGTCAGAAAGAGCATGAGAGATAGAAGAGAGATTGAAATAATGGAGTCACACATTTCATGGTAGCATGCTCACCTCAGCCTCACTTGGTGGTCCACGTGGAGAGAGAGGTATTTATTGCTAACAAAGGCTTTTATATTCTCTGGGGACCTGCAAGTCCCCTAATTACAGGTGAAGACATATGTTACAGGAAAGGGTTGTGCTAAGGTAATACAGTAATGGTAGGGGGGTGATCCAGGGGCATACACGCAATAGGAAGAAGGATTGGGGGTATGCATGTGACAAGATGGGCGGATCCTAGATTCAGGATGGCAGCCTAACTGAATGTCGCTGAGGTGGTTTGACCTGTTCTCTGGCTCAACTATAGAGATCATTATCAGTAGGGTGTAAACTCCACCTACAGGAACCAAATCAATGTCTGCAAGCCTTTAGGGAGAAGTATCCCATTGTCCTTAACAGCAAGGAGTGGGACCGACCTTGGTGGGATCAGACAGTAGTCTGGCAACTGACTGCCTTCAGGGAGGATGTCTCTAAGCATTTGACCTTTTACCATATGCTAGCAAACAGCCTCTAATGTTTGGCATATCTTTGGGGGAGACAAAGCTGGGGAAGTCTCTATAATCCCACAAATCTGTACATGGATCAA